TTATCTGCTTCAGCCATTTTCACTTGATGGAAACCCGACATTAAGTCCAGAGTTGAGAACCATCTAGCTCCACTTAGAGCATCAAGAGTATAATCAATTATTGGCAGTGGGTATGAGTCTTTTTCGGTTATACTGTTAAGAGCCCTGAAGTCCATACAGCAATGTTGGGTCCCATCCTTCTTCTGGACTAACACAACAGGAGCTGACCAGGGACTATCTGATTTCTCGACTATCCCTTCCTTAATTAGACCATCTATGACCTTTTCTATCTCTTCTTGCTTTGCTGGAGCTATTCTCCTCGAAGGGATCTTTATTGGATGGTGATTGTCTGTGTTTATTCTGTGCTCTACAAGATTTGTGCAGCCAAGGTCATGATCTCCTTTCAAAAAGACGTCTGCATAATTCGCAAAACGTTCTTTTACCTGAAGAGCCTGTGATGATGCCAAATGGACTATGCTCTTCTTATAGAGGTCAGTTAAATGTTCTGGAAGTGTATGTCCTTTCTTTATAGTTGTATTTCTTGCTTTAACATTGACTGGCTCTACCTCCTGGCACACAGCCAACAATACCCCTTCCTTAAGTGTCTGCTCACATTTAGATAAATTGGCCACTGTAATAGGTACTACTTGATGACCTACCACAAGTGACCTTCCTATCTTCAAATCCGCTGAACTGGATGGGTCTTCCACTGCTTCCACAAGCATTGAGCTTCCATGGGGAAGTTCTTTTATCCTACCCCAAATTATCTTCTCTGACATGGGGGTATTGTACTTGACTTAAGTGCTGTGACATGCAAATCAACGGATGGAGCAACACTTACTGGAATCTGGCCTTTGTTGTTTCCAATCGTCATTTTATCGAAGTTAACTACACACTTCCTCGGTATTAAATAGTCCAATCCTAATATGCATTGGTCTTCAATGTCAGCCAAGTATACTTTCTGTCTGTTCTTCATGCCCATGAGCTCAATAGTTACCCACACTGTTCTCCACAACATTACATAATGTTCTGTCACACCACAGAGCTTCTGTACAGCTTCTGGTACTCCTTTGTAATCCAGCACCTTAATACTCACAAGGGTTTGCTGAGACGCAGAATCTATGACAAAGTTGCACCTTTG